AAAAAAAAAAAAAAAAAAAAGAAGACATCTTTGCTTTTCAGCATTTTAAAGAGGTCTTTTGCAGCAGATTTGCCCAGTGTAATAGATCGTTTGATTTCTGGACTATTGCTTCCATTGGTGTTGATTGTGGAACCAAGTAATATGAAATCTTTGACAACTTCAGTCTTCTCTCCATTTATCGTGATGCTGCTTAATGGTCCAGTTGTGAGGATTTTGTTTTCTTTATGTTGAAGTATAATCCATATTGCAGAGCGTAGTCTTTAATCTTCATCAGTAAGTGCTTCAAGTCTTCACTTTCAGCAAGCAAGGTTGTGTCATCTGCATATCACAGGTTGTTAATGAGTCTTCCTTCAATCCTGATACCACACTTTTCTACATATAGCCCAGCTTCTTAGATTTATTTGCTCAGCATGCAGATTGAGTAAGTGTGGTGAAAGGATACAACCCTGACACATTCCCTTCCTGATTTTAAACCATGCAGTATCCTCTTGTTCTATTCTAACAACAGCCTCCTGGTCTAGGTACAGGTTTCTCACAAGCACAATCAAGTGCTCTGGAATTCCCATTCTTCACAATGTTATCCATAATTTGTTATGATCCACACAGTCAAGTGCTTTTCCATAGTCAATGAAACACAAGTAACCATCTTTCTGGTCTTCTTTGCTTTCAGCCAAGATCCATCTGACATCAGCAGTGATATCCCTCGTCCCATGTCCTCTTCTGAATCCAGCTTGCATTTCTGGAAGTTACCTGTCAATATACTGCTGCAACTATTTTTGAAGTATCTTCAGTACGATTTTACTTGCATGTGATATTAATGATATTGTTCTATAATTTCCACATTCTATTGAATCACTTTTCTTTGGAATGGGTACAAATATGAATTTCTTCCAGTCAGCCAGGCAGCTATTTTCCAAGTGTCTTGGCATAGAGGAGACATAAGTGTCTCCAGCATGGCATTTGTTTGTTGAAACATCTCAGTGGGTATTTCATCAATTCCTGGAGCCTTGTTTTTTGCCAATTCCTTCAGTGCAGTTGGACTTCTTCCTTCAGTACTGTTGGTTCTTGATCATATGCCACCTACTGAAATAGATGAACATTCTTTTTGGTACAGTGACTCTGTGCATTCCTTCAATCTTCTTTTGATATTTCCTGCATCATTCAATATTTTTCCCATAGTATATTTCAGTATTGCAACTCCAGGTTTGAATTTTTTCTTAAGTTCTTTCAGCTTGAGAAACACTTTTGGTTTTCTAACTCCAGGTCTTTTCATCTTTCATTATAATAATTGTCTTCTCAGGCTGCTCTTTGAAATCTTTTGTTCAGCTCTTTTATCTTGTCATTTCTTCCATTTTGCTCTTTGTTGTTGTTGTTGTTGTGTGCTGTCGAGTCGGCCATTTTGCTCTAGCTACTCTCTATTCAAGAGCATGTTTCAGAGTCTCTTCTGATGTCCATTTGGGTCTTTTCTTCCTTTCCTGTCTTTTTAATGACTGTTTGCTTTCTTCATGGATGATGTTATTGATGTCATCCCACAATTCCTCTGGTTTTCGGACATTGGTGTTCAGTGTGTCAAATCTGTTTTTCAGATGGTCTCTAAATTCAGGTGGCATATAATCAAGGCCATATTTTCGCTCCCGTGGACTTGTTTCAATTGTCTTCAGCTTCAACTTGAACTTGCATATGAGTAGTTGATGGTCTGTTCCACAGTCAGCTTCTGTTTTGGCTGAAGATACTGAGCTTCTCCATCGCTTCTTTCCATAGATGTAGTCATTCTGATTCCTGTGTGTTTCATTTGGCGAGGTCCACGTTTGTGCTGTTGAGAAAAGGTGTATGCAGTGAGTAAGTTAAGTTGTTGGTCTTGCAAAATTCTACCATGCAATCTCTGGTAACATTTCTATCACCAAGTCCATATTTTCCAGCTACTAATGATTCTTTTTTGTTTCCAACTTTTGCATTCCAATCACCAGTATTAATCAATACATCTTGATTGCATGCTCCATCAATTTCAGACTGCAGAAGTTGGTAAAAATCTTGTTTCCTCATCTTTGACTTTGGTGGTTGATGCATAAATTTGAATAATAGTAGTGGTGTAGTGCCTAAGGCATTTGACTGCTAACCAGAAGGCTGGCAGTTCAAAGCCACCAGCCGCTCCTTGGAAGGAAGGTTGGGCAATCTACTTCCATAATGATACCACCTCGGAAACCTAAGGAGGAGTCACTACGAGTTGGATCCAATTCAACAGCAGTGATTTGGGTTTTGGAATTGGTCTTCCTTGCAGGCATGTGGATATTATCCTATCACTGACAGCATTGTACTTCAGAATAGATCTTGAAACTTTTTTTTTTT